CCGTCCAATCCACTGAGTAGATACAGCGTGTGCACGGGGTGAACATTCCATCACTGGTCTCCCGGGGCCTCCTCGCCAAGTCGGCAGAGGGAGCCATTCCCCAAGAAATCACCGTGCGAGGCCTCGCAGAGGGCCTGGGGGGATTTTCTCGCGCGTCCCAGGAGTTCTCTTCCCCGCCCGCCTCTGTAAAGCGGGCTCTCTCATCCTCCGCCCTCCATCCCCACCTCCCTGACCTACGTTCACAACCACTTTTGCTGCTGCATAGCGCACGGTGGCACCGCGTGGCCACCTACCCCTTCTCGGTCTCTTACTTGCCCTCCCTCCCTTGACACTAGTGGGGACGCGCCGTCCACTCCAGTTGGCCGCTCGGGCGCTGGCCCGGTCCCCCAAAACCTTAGAGAGTGTATAGAACACCTCCCGTGGACTTCGACAAGGGGTTCGCACTGAAAGTGGGTCAGGACGAAGACCAGAACCACACTCTGCCACCACTTCGTTCAACCCCTGCGGCGACCCCAAAGGTTTGCCAACTTCGTGACCCGGCCATTGGCGGGGTCACCCCAAGCGGTGGAAGCTGCTCAGAGAGGGGAGAACTGCGACCCGGGTGAAGGAGTCCCGCCACAAGGATTCTGTCTATTGCAGTAGGGACCGAGAGCGGCGCCAAACGACACCCCCTCAGCGGCCACTGCCCCGGCGGCAGCAGCTGCAGCAGCGGCAACTGCGCGCATCCCGGCCCCAGCTCGGGTTACTCCCCTCCTCCTCCTCCAGCATCTCGGGCCAGACAGGGAAGACCTTGTTCAAGTTTGTCGCGAGTACTTTCTCCGGTGCGAAAAACACAGTGTCTGGAAACACTTTGCGACCTACCTCTTTCCCGCGCCTCCCACCTCTGCGCCTAAGCGAAGACTCGCAAGTATTGCTTTCTTCTGGGACACTGCTTGGAGGTTAACTGCGCGGTTTGGAACAGATTTTGTATCTTGGCTGGCGTTGAGCGAAGGCCGTGGGGGAAAAGGTGGCGCTGAGAATCTCAAGATCTTGGGACTTGGGTAAGAGTTAGGCAAACTCAACTGTAGAGGCCATTGGACTTGGCCGGACTCTGAGAGCCTTCTTATGGGCACAGGGCACCTATCCCTCAGCCAGGATACTCTAGTACGATTTGAAGTGGGGTGAATTGGGCGCAGTCTGGGGTTGTTTATGTGTGTCTCAGCAGTTTGTTGTTATGGTTTGTTGTTATGGCAAAGTGTAGGGAATTCTTAAGAGTGTTTTTTTTTCCTGGGAAGACATCTCCAGTATGCATTTTATTTTGCATAATTTCTGCTTTTATATTGCCTAGCCTGTATTGGTTTCATGTTGACCCGTGACATAGCTGGATGAAGGGAGACTGGGGAGGTGGGGTTGGAATCCTGGAATGAAAAGCTGTTTCAACTGGGCCCTTCTCTTTAGATCTGCTTCATTTCTCTGGGATCTTGACTTGTTTTCTAAACTTTTCTTTCTTTAGTACTTGATATTCGGGTTGTGCAGTTAACTCATCAGGCTTGCAGGATGCTCCCCATTCCTGCATTCTCAGTGTTCTTTAGGGATGTCAGGCTGGATGGCTTGTACCAGGGGGTCCTAGTCAGAACGCTCGGCTCCTCAGGGAGTGCTGGAAGGACAGTTCTTCAAGCCATAGTTACTTATTTTGAAAACATTTATCCTGTGTTGGTCTTTTTATTTTAAATTCCTTATTTGCTGCATCTTTTGAAAGTGTCTTCACATGAAGACTCACATTCTTAAGGGGAGGAGTCCAAGTTTGGCATTTTATTAGCTCAAATTAGTCATTATTTCTATTCATAGGCAGTGATAACCATTCTGGGTCAAGGCAGATAATAGTAACAGTCCTTCTTGGTTCTTCTTGCCTTATTTTGTTGATTCCTGGCTCTCACTTTGTGTATAGTCTTTCCAAATAAAACATGTTTCATTCCTATGGATGAAAAGACTAGGGCCAAATTTCATTATCCAGAAATGCCATCTTCCTGACGTGAGTGCTACAAGGGGTCAGCTTGCAGGCAGCTTTTTGTTTCCCACAGAGAAGTTGGAGAGTTTGGTTGGTAAACTCTGGGGACCAGGTCACCTGGGTTCAACACTCCACTCTGCTACTTTCCAAATGTGTGCTTTTGTGTTACTTAACCTCTCCATCCACATCAAAATAATAATAGCAGTGCTTACACTAGAGGGTTGTTGCATGGATTAAATGAGTTAATGTACACAAAGTCCTGACAAGCCTGACTCCTAGTAGGCAAGTGCTAGTTATTATTTTAGTATAGAGCTAGCGCTAACTATGGGTGTATTGCTATTATGTAACTTTTATGAGCTATCAGTAAGTGTTAGTTATTATTTCTATTTGGATGGGCTTTAAAGACTGCTGCTCTGTGAGGTTCACTACCACCAATGATAATGGACACCAAAGGGTGCTTGGAACCCGTGAGGAGATGGGAAATCTACACTCAGTTCACCTCCTGGACTCTTCCTTAGAAACGCTTTGCATTAATATACTTCTTTAACCTATTTTTTGGAGGTCTTTCATTCACTCAATAAATATTTATTAAGCATCTATTATATTCCAAGCACTGTTCTGGATTTTGTATTATTTAAGTTCTTTGGTTTGATTTTAAAAATGGATGCACATAAGTATTTGCCTTATGACTACCTCCATCTCATTTCAACTATGTTAGGGCTTCCTTCATGCGATACTAGCACTCTTTAAATTAAATCCTAGATACTTCTAAACTATGATGATTTGAAAAGCTTTTGCTTTTATTTATTTGTTGGTAGTGGGGGTTGAACTCAGGAGCACTTTATCACTGAACCAAGTCACCAGCCCTTTTTAATTTGAGGCAGGTTCTCACTAAGTTTCTAAGGCTGACCTTGAACTTTTGATCCTCCTACCTCTATCCTCCAAGACACCAATTTTACAGGTGTAGGCCACAGTGCCTAGTTCAATAGCTTTTAAAATGCATGTGGAAGTAATATTGTTGAAGAACTGAATAAAATATTCAGTATGACTATAAGCATGTTGCTTCTCCATTTAGACACTGGTTTCCTCATGTATAAACTTGTGTTGGGTGTTGGGGAAAGAGCTGGCTAATCTTCAGTGTTCCTTCTTACTCTGAAATCTTTACTTGGTCGCCTTACCTCATTGGTAGCTATTTTGACCCCTCCCCCATTTTCTTTAAACATCTGTTTTAGGTATATAAATTATGAAACTTCTATCTTGGCACATTAATCATCATGAGTAATGACAGAGGTGATTAATAAAAAGTGGAAAGCATTTAGCTCTGCTTGTAATTCATCAGCTATGCTCAGACATTGATTTGTATCAGAAACATGGGGATGAGGTGTTGTTAAAAATATTGGATTGAGATATGAGAAATTGCCAATATTTGATAATTTTTGAGATAAAAAATGAGATTTCATGTGGTTCAGCCTAATATAAATCCTAGCCCCCTCCACCTTGCTTCAGATGCAGTGAGTCTTGAGTGAGGTGTGAAAAATCTGTGATTTTACAAGTTCCCCAGGTGGTTCTAATGCAAAGTCAAGCCTCAAGCTCTTTTAGCAGCCATGGATCTGCCTTCTTCAAGACAGTCTGCTTTGTCCAGAAGTGTATTTATAAAATACAAATCCGATCACATTATGGCCTCCTTTAAAAATTATTGGTAGCTCTCTGGATTATGAACATCAGTGTCACCCAGGTGCTTGCTGAAAATACTGATTCCAGGGCTTCATCCCAGATGCAAGGGCCAGAAATCAGTGTTTTGAGCCCATCTACAGGTGAATCTGGTAGAATCACGTTTGGAGAAACACTGGCTTATAGCATAAGGCTCACCCTCTCTATTGTGGTATATGAGACCCCCTTTGCACTCTCTTCTAAGGGTTGTTTCTCTACAACCCTCTCCAGCCCCCCGACCCCCACAGATCTTGATCTTGTGAGTTTTCCAAATATATTGTGCTCTTTCACTCCTCTATGACCTATGTGTGCTGTTCTCTCTGCTGGAAACGTCTTTGTTCCTCTTTTCTAACCAACAACCTACTACTCATGTAGCCTTCAAGATACAGTTTAAATCAGACTTTCCCTCTGATCTTTTCCTCACTTTCTCACATTAACCCAGGGGTATCTCAAGAGTCCTGTTCCTCTTTGTGGATAACTTTTACATAGCAATCTATCACCTTATTATCTGAATGTTTATCCCTGAAAGATTGGTGAATTCCTTGTTCTTATTGAAAGCCCTTGTCCAAGTGGCTGGCAAATGGTAGTTATATAATAAATGTCCAGAGAGTGTGGGAGAAGAACGAATAAATGAATGATAGTTTATATTTTCTTAGCATACAAATTGTTTGGGACAGTCACCATGTACCTATGAAGTGTTGTGGAGAAGGCAGTAGAGAATTTGCAGTTTGGCCAGACATAATCTACAAATTCAATAGTCCGGAGTGGAAAAAAAATACAAGATAGACTGTTTCAGGTGGACATATGAAACACCAAATCCCAGTGAATTAATGTTCCATGTTCGATGTTGTGACAGGCACTATGATAAAAGAGCTGCCTTTATATTTTTGGTTGTTGCAAATGACAGTGTCAGGGAACTGGGAATGCAAGTGCCAATGCCAATAAAAATAACCAACTTTGCCTCATGCTTTTCAGTTTATAAACATAAATCGTATCTTGCATGTATTTGTGAATTTGATCAGAAACATGGTGACTGGTTTGACCCTGTCTTTCCTACTTTCCTGAAAGGATGCATTTCTGAAAGTAGGTCCAAAGATTGTGCACAGCCTGGGTGTTATAAGGGATGATGACCCTAGACAGCCAAATATATTGCAAAAATCTCTAATTACCCTTGCTACTGAGACACAGAATTTAGTGTATATACTACTTTCTTTAAAATTTCTATAATTTTGGTTATTCCCTCCCAATTTAAAAAAGGTTGAACTGTTCAAGTTCAATAAAGGTCTGATTTGGGTCAAAGATTTGCCATTTTTGGAGGGTCGGGTACCAGGGATTGAACTCGGGCACTTGACCACTGAGCCACATCCTCTGCCCTATTATGTATTTTTTTTCTTTTTTAATTTAGAGACAGGTTCTCACTGAGTTGCTTAGCTCCTTGCCAAATTGCTGAGGCTGGCTTTGAAGGATTTGCCATTTTTGATATGTGTAATAACTTTCATCTTTGTCTCACTTAAATTTATTAGAAAAATACTTCTCATAATTACTCTTAGGATTTTAACTTCCCTATTCCCCATTTTTTTTGTAATAATGAAAATATGCTGAAACAGTTGAATAAGTGAGTGGACAATTCCCAGGGTAAAGACAAAGATGATCATGCTATAAAAACTGAACTGTTAGCTGATGGGCAGCTCTACCTTAAAATAAACAAGAGGAAATGTCCCATTACAGGCTGGTTATGAGTATCTGTGACACAGGGTGCGGAAGTAACAGCATCAATAGTCAGAATCCAGACTATTTAACCTAACACAGCCATCTTAAGGACTGCCTGTACTCAGGTTCTCAAGTGGTGTGTGTATTGTAGTTTTAAAAATGAGCTTAGTTTTAAGAATTAACGTTAGATTCATTGAGTTCTGCCGACTTGTCTTCTTTTTAAATTGTTTCCAAAATTGAACTTTAGTGTTAGCTCATATCATTTTCTTCCAGGACGTTTGCATGATTTTTTTTTAACTGGTTTCCTAACTCACTCTTCCCTCCCTCCTTTCCCTTCCCCCTTCCCCCCTCTCCTTCTCCCCTCCCTCCCTCCCTTCCTTCCTTCCTTCTTTCCTTCCTTCCTTCCTTGTATCTGAATTTCCCCAAGTTTTATATTTATCTCTTATCTCTCTTTTCTTCACCTTTTAAATTAGCTTAAAAGGTGATCATTTCATGTGATCATTCTTTCTCTCTTTAAACATAGTTATTGTAGTGGATTAATTCAGGGGACTTAATAAAAGGATTTATCACACTATGAAG